ATATTATTACATAACAAAACTAAAATCTTTGATTTTTAATTTAATGTTAATGGCTATTCTTCAAATAATAAAAAGAAAAATCATATTTGGTTATAACTTGGCGGCAAAGTTGTATTTTAAGGATAACAAAACAAAAGCTTTTATATAAATATAACATATTTATATAAAAGTAACTACATATAATATTCTAAAAAAAAAATATTTTTTCGATCTTTTTAAACTTTTACGATTACTTTTATAAACACTTTTAATAGCGAAAAACTTTGTCGCGAAAGAATACGTTACATAACATAACTCAAGTTTAATAGTGTATAAAAAATATTGGTTTCTATAAGCATTAAAAAAACTATTACGTTAACTTTTATATAAAATTAGTTTAAAAGAGGTTTTAAAAAGTTAAAATATTCGTTTGAAATTTATAAAAACCATCATACAAAAAATAAATATTAAAATACAAATTTAAGTTAATAATTATTTTCAACATTTTATTATAAATGATAAAAACCGGGCTGCTTAAATCAAAAAAAAAAAATTAACGCTAAGGTGTCTTAAAAAATGAATTAGCTCAAAAAAATGATGTATATTATTAAGGTAGCTTCATTTTCTGTTTTGAATAAAAAATAAAAGGTTCAATAAAAGAAGTTTATATGCACTACTGAAATTTATTAATAGTTTTGAAACAATTAAAATAATTATAAAAAATGGGTCGGACAAAATGACAGATGGATGTCGTTTTTTACGGACAAGTATGGGCCTTTACATTCATCATATATGGTTAAATCCCGCATATATAGGCTTTTTTAATAAAATCCCGCATAGACCTTTTACAGCCACCACGCCCCTGTGTCAAATTCTTAAAAAGCAATGAAACCAGGATCTAATTTTCATGTAGATCAAGGATATAAAAGCATGACTTGTTCAAGTATATCAAATACTTGTTCAAGTATATCAACCTGTTCAAGTATATCAAATAATAGTCACGAATTTGCTCTTACATAATCAACCAGTAAAGAAGGCTGGAAAAAATTGAGAAACTCTTTTTTCTGTGGAATAAAACCTGAATTGTTTTTGCTCTCAAATTCATATATATCTGTTCGAGAATACTGTACTAGCTTTTAAGCCATGTCTTCTTTCATGTCGGACACAGACCGTTCTTAATGGCCAGGAAAAAGATAACAGTTGTGGGGTCAAGTACCAGCTATGGTTTTACTTTTGAAAGCTGAAGCTGCATCCAGTTTAAACTTTTTCAGATGAACCATCAGCCAAATAAAGAGCTGGTCCTGTAATGTTAATATTCTAATGCAATTCTTTTTTACATTATCTTATAAAATAATAATGCTAATATGGAGTTTATGACATTATGAAATAAAAGGCTAAGAAAAATAACCTGCATTGCAGTTGTATCTGATTTCTCACCTTTGAGAAATTTAGGAGAATAGAAAATTGAAATATAAGTTGCCATCTTTTCCACATTATTTATCTTCTTCTGTCTTAAGTTCAGGATTTGCTAGGTTGAATTATAAAGAAGCATGATTTTCAGAACTCTTCAGATCAGTAAATACGCATTGCCATTAAACGTGCATGGTATACTACCCCAGGCTTGTAAATACTAAGAAGCTTAAATGTTGGTTCCTAAAATATGAGAGCTAGCTCAGTAAGTTCCTGGTAGTCTCTAGTTACTGGTAATATTGGTACTTGTTTTTATTAATAAATAACTCACAATTATTACATTAGAACTTAAACATTTTAATGGTTAAATAAATCAACCTGAAAATATTTGCACACACCTTCATTAACAAGTTTCATTAAAAGATTTCTCGCCTCATCTGCTTGTTCTTTGAACTAAGAATGACAAATCTTTTGCGAATTGAAGTGATTGATGAACTGTGTCATCATCAACATCAACATCATTTCACTTCTATTTCAAGCCATTAAAAAGTACATCGCTGGGTCCTATAGTAACTGCTGACCCATAATGTTCCAAGATTATTTCTAAAACTTAATCTAATAAAACTGAAATCATTACGAAGTAGTTTGTTGTAATTAACTCTCAGAGACCTTCTTTTAAATTATTAAAACAATAGTTTATTGGTATAAAGCACCACAAATCATTCCAGTATTACTAGCAGTAGTGTCATAGAAAACCATCCTTACATAATCAGCAATACCAAACTCAATTAAAATCTCTTTGATAGCCTAAACCAATTTAATCCTGTACCAGAAGGAGCCCACAGAGCTCCAAGTAGGTGAGTATTTCCTCCAGCTCTCACAAGAATGCAAAATCTAGCAACTGCAACATAAACATTCATTTACAAAATGTCCTGGAATTAAGATTTGATTAATAATGTCAGGAAAACTTTTCATTTTAATTATTTAACATATTAGTTATAAATAAATATATGCAAAGCTTGATTAACTTTCCATCAAAGTATAACTGAATTTTTATCTTATTTTGTTTGATCTCATTTTTAATTAGAATCTTAATATTATCAACGTCTTTGTTGATGTTATTTTTCATTCGAAAAGCTTAAGTATAAGAAAGAGCTTGTCAACACAACCTCCAGTTGTGTTGACAAGCTTAATCAGAGTTACTGATATTTTTTGAGTTGTTGTATCCTATTCTCAGTCTCTTCAACAATCTTTTCTGTTGACGGCAATAGTCTATTTCTGCCGGTCAAATTTCCTTATTTAACAGTGCCTGTATTCGTTTTCTGATTTAGACTTTGTACCTGTTTTTGGAGAAAATATTTCTGGTGGATGTACAACATCAGTAACACGCACTCTAGTACCTCTTGCCTGTACAAATGAAATTTCACAAAAATTTGTCGATGCTGTAACTTTAGCCTAAACCCATTTATTTCTCCTTTGTTCAACCTCTGCTCTAGGCTTGTCAGTAGTCTAAGCACCATTTATATTTTCTCCCTTCTGATCTTTCAAAAAAGAACACCCTCAGACTTAAAAGAATGAAGCATATATTTGTATGCTTTAAATGCTTTTGTTTATGACATTTTCTATGTGCTACTGAGCTAGAACAATCCTTAAAAATTTTTATATTTTAAAAATATTAACATTTTACGTCTATAATTTTAAGATTTTAATAATTTTAACTGTATGAAAACTTGTCAAATAACTCATTGAATAAAAAAAATTTGTTAGTGCCTCTTAGTGCCTTCATTAATTCAGTGTGAGATTTTGTGCACCTTGCCTTACTCTTGTGCTGGTTCTTCTTCAGCTAAGATATCTGTTAATATATTTTTCTATATTTCTTTGAAAGGATTCCTTAATACAAGCACTTACCCTTCTTCTCTTAATGCAATTCTTATGCATTTTAGAACTTTAATACATTAAAAAAAATAATTTAACACTTTCATTATTTATTAATTATATTAATTAAATATAAACAGTTTAAAAAACGTTTTTCAAATAAAAAACCAGACTAAAAATAAGTTAAAATAAGACATTTGAAAACTTTAAATATCGATTTTGATATTTAAAAAATGAACATATAAAATATGTCGCCATTAAGTGTTAAAAATCTTGAATGCAAAATACAATATTTATCAATTTTTGATTGTCTTACATTTTAATATGTGACTTATAATATAAACATAACACATTACAGTATTAACAGTAAATAGTACATAACAGTATTAACAGTATATATATATATATATATATATATATATATATATATATATATATATATATATATATATATATATATATATATATATATATATATATATATATATATAATAGAAATTTTACAGTATAACAATTTGTGATATATTCTATATCACAAATTTCTTAAAACTTTGTTTGGGTGTAGTCAAGGAAAAAAAAAAATCTTTTGAAAAACCAAAATTTTTATTTGAAATCACTCATTATTAGACATCTTTTGAGCTTTTATACATATTCTAAATAAAACATAATGCAAAACATGAACAACTCTCATATATATATATATGTAAAGATTTGTGCAAACAATTTATGGTTTTTGAAATTTAGTTTTGTTCCCTTAAAACTTTAGTAAACTCTAAATTAAAAAAAAAAATAGCTTAAAATACCTGTAAAAAATTAAACCTAGAAATGACTTGAACTACATTGTCTTCAATATTTATAAATCAAGCAGTAGCAAGGTAAAAAAACTTCTTTTTTTGAAAAATCAAAAATTTATTTTGAAATCACTCATTTTTACACATTTATTGAGGACGCAAATATATTTAAAAAAAAATATTTTGTGAAATGTGAACAAACCTAACATATATAAAAAGACTTGCGCAAACAACTTATGCTTTTTAAAATTAGCTTTCAATTCCTAAAGAAAAATCTGTCAATCAACTCAAAATTTAAAAACTATTTTAAAATTAAAATTAAATCTAATAATGACATGTATAAACACCTACAGCATTTATAAATCAAGCAATGGTCACATTTAAATAAATTTATTTCTGATCAAGACTGATATATATATATATATATATATATATATATATATATATATATATATATATATATATATATATATTTATATATATATATATATATATATATATATATATATATATATATATATATATATATATATATAACCGTCATATTTTTGTATTCTTATATAACACTGGACACTGGGTGTACACCAGGGTACCTTTAATAAAAAATATTCATTTAAATTTCTTTAAAAAAACAAATGTTACAAAAAACATACAAAATATAAAAATACAATTTTATTATTATGAGTATATAATTTAGAAAAAAAAGATATAAACCAATTGTTTTTAAATCAATTCAAATAATGAAATTAGAAAATTAGAAAAAAAATTTCAAATTTAAATAAACAAATCTATGTTACTGTTTATTAAAAAATATTTACTAATTAATTTAAAAATATTTCTTATTTTATTAAAAAAAAAGAAAAAATAACCATAAATTTTAAACTTTATTGAACTCCTGTGTGGTTATCAAAAATGACAATAATGCTACAAAGATTATAAACTTACCCAAAATAGAAAAGAGAACAGATTTTTCATTTGTATTTTTTGAAGGATTCAGATTAACAAGAAACTTTAATAAACTATTTTGACTAGCATTAGATAATCCACAAATCATTGATAAACAACTTTTCAGCTTTTTATTGGTCATGATTTCTTCACTACTTAAACAATTATATGCATATACAGATGCACAAAACTCCATTATTGTCAAATGCGCAAACTGATAATAACAATCCAGATCTGTTTCAATCTTTTCTATAAATCCAAAAAAATTACTTTCATTTTTATCAAAGTCATGAATAAAAGTTTCAATTTCTTCTTTGGAAAAAATTACTTTATTTTCAACAAACAATTGATAAGCAATTTTACAAACATTTAAAATATACATTTTATTAGTATCGTTTTTCATTATCTGATAAATCATTTCATTGTTTTTGATGATGTGTTTTCGCAAAAAATATAAAAAAATATTTGCATACAAATCTGTCATTGTTAAGAAAGATGTGATACTTTTCATTTTTGAATCACTGATAATTTTACACATGGAAGATAAATAAAAAGGAACAGATGCCATAGCTTTTGCAATTGGAGATTCCTTTAAAGTTGCTTTTACAATTCCTTTTTTTTCTTCCTTAACATGATTCTCTACATAATTCATTATTCCATTTTCATTAAACCCCATTATTTGAATGGTTAACTTATCACTCTGATCTGAATATATACTTTGGTATTGATCAATTGCATAAACTCTACCAGCAATTAAATGTTTATAACTTTGAATTTCTGCTAAAACATTAACAATCGGATAATTATATTTTAATTCCGAATTTGATAACTCATTGAAATATTTAAACTCATCTAATCCATCAATAATAAAGAGTGCAGTGTCAATACTAATATTAAAGTTACTTATAATATCTTTGTAGAAAACGCTTAATAAATCATTAATATTAGAAACATTTTCATATTGATTAATCCTCCTGCATTCCAAATAAAAAACAAGTTCAACATTTTTCCAAATTAAATCATTTGACCAATCAAGCAAACATTTTCTAAGCAACCATGTTTTCCCAATACCAGCAATTCCAGATACTAATATCACTGATTTTTCGTTCATAAATAGTTCACTATAAGGAATTGGCGTATAACGCATTTGCTTTATAAGAAATTCCTTTCGTTCAACACTAAAAACAGCATCCATTTGCGGCTTCGCTGCATCAACAATACATAGATCAACAAATTTATTCATTAGATCAACACTTGCAGGTGCTTTTAATAGTGGTTGAAGTTCACTAATTTTCCCATAATATTTAAGATAAAACTTTTTGAGTTCAGCAGACACTATTGACAAATCTAAGTAAAATAAAAGAATGTTTAGTAAAACTATCACCATGATTTAGCTAATATTCATGCTCATAACAATGACAATCATTTTTACTATAATTTTATATAGACTTAAAATCAAGGATTGAATTAAGCGATCGTGAAATGCAAAATCTGGAAAAAAATCTTGTCTTCAAAACTTTAGGTAATGCAAAACTGTGTTCTTTGTTTTTAAGGGGCGAATTAACTTAAGTTTGTTAGTGAAAAAATTATAAAAAATAAAACAATAAACTTACGACTATAAAAGTAATAACACACTAATCACTAAATGCATTATAAAAGTAATAACACTGTAATAGTGTTATTTCTTTTATAATTCACTTATAACTTTTATAATTCATTCTTTGTTCAAACAAGTCAGGTAATCCCAAATTTTAATTGAAGTAGAAAAGCATCTACAAAAAATAGAGTGGATATTCAAATAATATTAAAAACTTTAGGAACTTTAACAACTTTAAAAAAAATGTACAACTTTAAAAAAATGCTAAAATTTTTATAAAGCACGTTTTTATAAAGTTGTATCCTTGTAAAAGTTGCAAAAGTTTTTAATAGTATTTAAATATCCACTTTATTTTTTCTAAACGTCTTTTTACTTTAAATAAAGCTTGGAATTACTTGAATGCTGTTTGAACAAAATATAAACTTAAAGTTATAAGTCCTTTATAAAATTAATAAGACGATTATACTTTTATTACTTTTATAATGCAGTTGTGACTAGAGTGTTAGTACTTTTGCAGTCGTAAGTTTATTGTTTTATTTTTTATAACTATTTTGCTAACAAAGTTGATTCGCTCATTGAAAACAAACACGGTTTTGCATAAACTAAAATTTTGAAGACCAGATCTTTTTCCAGATTTTTGCTTAACTCAACCCTTGAAAATAGTCCTAATTATGTACTTGACACAAAATTTCTTATAAATCTAAAGAGCCTAAATATTCCTTATAATAATAGTTGTTATTTATAATGCATATAATTTATGTTCATTAGGTAGCATAGCTTCCTTTAAGTTGAAAGAAGAAAGAAATTTAGGTCTCCAGACTAATTTGAAATAGCTTTTTTTTTATTCTAGCATATTTTTAGCTTATGCATTAATTTAATAATCAACCCAAGAACAGTCACAAAGAAAATCAAAAATTGATTTCTAGTCACCTTTAAGGTGGTAGTAAGAAATACAATCATAGGATAGACCAGATGCAGTAGTACAAGGTAAAAGTTTTAGAAGATTAATTCATAGTCAGAACCATCTAAAGAAGAACAGAAGAAACTAGGCACAAGCTAGGGTCAGAGACAAGTTGCAAAAACTTGATTGAGGTAAAGTGATTAGAATTGTCTAGAAGGTCACAACCAAGTGACTTAACAACCATTACAAGAACAAATACATGTATAAACACTTTCAATGTATAAACCATTACAGGAACAAATACATGTATAAACACCGATTATAATTTATATTTTTAATAAAAAATTAAATGATTTAAAATTTAATTATAAATCTAGGTATACTGTAGGAGAAAGTCTATTTGTCATGTTGAACTAACTCAATACTGTGTTACACTTATTATATACATATTACACTTATTATATAACTATTAACATTTGTATATCGTTTAGTAATTTAGTCTTACAATGTTATACTTGTCAAATATATATATATATATATATATATATATATATATATATATATATATATATATATATATTACAAGTAAACCCTTAAAACCCAAGAAAAGTCCTATACTGTACTTAATTTCCAGGAAAATTGTAAACTTTGAATTGTTTATAGGTTTTATTAGTTTTAAATGGATATCAATTTAGTTGTCAAAGATACTCAGTAATGTTTTACAATTTAATAAAAAAGTATTTAAGTAAAAAATTAACAATTTATAATTTCAAAATGTTATAAACTAAATAAGATAATATAAATGTATTGGCAGCTGTAAAACAAAGTACTACCATAAATCATATATGAATATTTTAATTTAAAAAATGCTTTATGCAGTAGTATTGTGTTAATGTTACTGCATTAGCTAGAACATTAAAACAATATCAATATCCCAATTATTTATCATTATTAACTATGATAAGTAAAATCATTCTTGCTTCGGTTGCTATAAAAATGAATAATATTCACTATAACTACTCATTAAGTTCTACAGTTTAAATTCTGGGCAGCATTTCTATCATAACCTTACATAAGTGTGCTCGATAAAAAATTACCATATTTTAGGAACATACATAAAACATAAAGACATTAGAGTTAATTAGATATTACCATATTTTAGGAACATACCAAACATAAAGACAAAGGAAAATCTCTATTCTAATCTAATCTATATATATGTCAATAACAAAGATACAATTAAAATTTAAAATCTTGAAAGATATGAAAACTTATTACCTCTAAGTAACATCTAAACTTATTAACTCTATGTAACATATAAACTTATTAATTCTAACTTGTCAACTTGAAATATTGGCAATATAAAAAGATAAAATAAATAGATAAAAGTGTAAGAAAAATAATATTTATTATAGTTCAGATAATATAAAAAGAAGAATTGTAACCTTAATTTTTTATTTAATTTAATTTTGATTGATCCTAATCATTCATCATTAAAAACTACACTAAGTAAAATCATTATTGCTTCTGTTGCTATAAAAAAAGTTTTTATTCACTAAAACTCCTCTGCAGCTTGGAGTCTTGACAACATTTTTATCACACACTTATATAAGTGTTCTTCAGAATTCTCTCCATTTCTCAATAAAAGATTTAACAAGTGAAAAATGTAAAACATTTAAACTTATTTTATATGTATGTTTAATTTATACAAAGTTAATGTTTGAATGAGGAAAGCTGAAAGAGAAGAGTCTGAAGTATAGTTATGAGATTTTAAATAAGAATTTTAAAGCTATTCTGTTTTTTTCTGAACTGAAAAATGAATAGGTTAAACTAGTTTCAAAAATATAGAAATTTGTCACAAACAATTATATATGAAAGCAATAAACAACCAGAAAGTTTCAAATCTAAATAATGTAGACTTGATTATTAGGCTTGATTATTAGGCTTGTAAGTAATGAAGCTTGTAAGTAATGAAGACTTGTAAGTAATGAAGCTTGTAAGTAATGAAGACTTGATAATTAGTTGTTCTGGAATTGAAATGGATAATAATACAATGCTTTGCCTACACAATGAATGTATTCACTTAAAGTAATACTTCACAGCTTATATAACTTGCTGTGATTTATTAACAAATGTCTGATACAGGTTTGGTGCGACGTATAAAAATGACTTTTAATTAAAAATATTTTATAATTCAGTATTATTTTATGAAATTGAACAAATTAAGGATACCAAAATATATACTTTTTAAAGTGTTATTTTTTGGACCAATCTACACAGCTCTTTTTTCGACGCTTTCAGTTGATGTTAATTTTACTTCAGACTTTACTCTTTTAAACCACACTTTTCAGCTGGTTCACATGAAATAGAAACTGTTGAAAACGAATTAAAAACTGCACCTTTTTTTGTTTTATGAGCTTTTTTCTGTAAATTTAAGGCCTTCAAAAAATAAGGGGGTCCTTAACTTTATTTGGCAGTCTCTTGAGTGCTAAAATAATTTGATGAAACTTATAACCCAATTATAATTTATGATCATATTTATAATAAAGAAATTTTTTTTCAAAAAATAAAAAAGTTTTTCTTAATCAAGGCGAAGCAGGGGTATTTTTAAAGGGCATTCTACTCCAGTTTGAAAATCACACGGTTTGTGCCTCAAATCAAAGTTTTTTTAAAGACTAACTGAAGATAAAATAGTTGCATATTAATGAGCACAATAAAATTTAGAATAAAATAAATATTAAAAAAATACAATGAATAAATAAATACTAAATAACGCTTTTAAACTAAACAAGTTGTTAGAATATTGACATAAAAATAAAATAATTTAATGTCTAATGTGTGTCTAATATAGCCATATTTGTTGGCTGTCACTAATAGTCCACTAAATAACCAATAAGCAAAACTACAGTGTGCCGCTCAAAATTTAAAGATAAACTAGATGCAAATTAAAGACATAAGCACAATAAAATTTTTTTTGACAAATTGAGCTCAATAAATTAATTGTATATTTATCATCAATTGTATATTTTTTTAAATTAAACAATATGCTATATAATATTATAGCATATAGTACATAATATTATAGCATATAATATATAATATTATAGCATATAACTAGTAAGTGACCAGGGTTGATATTTGACCGGGGCCGGGTTTGATAAAACATAGCTTGGGCCGGGTTTGTGACCGGGGCTGCATTAATATTGATATTCCTAATAAATATATAATTGTTATTTAAAATTCATGATATATTTTATATAAAGGTATATATATCATCTCATCGTCATCGTCATCATCATCATCATCATCATCATCATCATCATCATCATCATCATCATCATCATCATCATCATCATCAAGCATACAGTTGATGATGATGATTAAGATGATTCTGATGATGATGATGACAATGATCATCATCATCATCAACTTAATCATTGGCATCATTATCATCTCTGATACACACTATAAATATAATTACTACTCTCATACTATCTCTAAGATCATTGCTTTTTTTTTATCTTTTAAAGACACCATATATATCCATCTGATCTACTTTGTTCTTTCCGGATGAAAGAACAAACAAGCCAGCAACCTGGATATTCTAGAAAAGTCAGAGGCCATCATGTAATAAATTGATTATTTGAAATTTTTAAACAAAGTTAATAACTTGAAGAAATATTTAAAAATTGCTAACAATCAGGGTGTTTAAAATATCCTAAAATAAATTTCATAAGATAAATTTATTGTAAAATTGCATTTACATTTAAAATGTAAGTAACTTCTTAATTGTATTTTAATCATTAGAATTACATAGTTGAGCTATTCAAGTATTTATATAATATTATA